TTTGGTCATCTGGGGTCGTTCGGACGACGTCGCCGACAATCGAGTAAAAAAAATGTGTCAAAATTTAAATTTCACAAGATTTCGACCCGCGATCGATCGTTTCAAAAAGTTTATTCGAGCCTTCGGTAGGTAACGGTGCAAGCGATGTGAATTGTAGCGATCGGACGCGTCGATTCTCCGAATTGCAAAGTTTGTGCGCGCAGAGTGCGAATTGTGCAAAAGGCCACCCTAATGCTCAAAAACTCAAAAGGTCCTATAAGAATCCCTTTTGGGTTTCCTCATGTTGGTTTCATCGTTCTAAGTGCTAGAAGTTGATACCACACACGCGAAACTCCCAAAGGGAACAGAAATGTACAGAAATGGGTTGAATTTCTAAAACGGTCGGGTCCCATTTCTAAGGTTATAAGATAGTCAAAGAGAAATCCATAAGGCTAGATCCTAAACCCTAAGAGGAAGACTATACCTCACTAAAAATGAGGTCAACATCCTTTAGTAGTATACGTATGCAAAAACTGCAAGTCTAATCACGCCTGATACATAGTCACAAGAGAAATGTAGATTAAGATATACAAGATATGTCATGTTTTCAAATCATTAAAAAATAGGGGCATTTATATACAGATCACACAAATCTTATGTATTTACATATCTAGCACCAAAACTTTATTTTTTACATTTATACCAGACAAATCTTTCATATCACATCAAAAATACCATCATTTTGGCTTTAAAAAAGTGAAATACACCATTTCATGCATGGTTAAGGTGGTATGTAAGTAAAATTGATATTTTGATATTATATATGTAAAAACATAGGAATTGAGTGGTATGCATGTAAATCTTCCTAAAGAATAATAAAAGGATACTTCTATTAGCATCAAGTATGAGAAATAAGTATCAGAATTTTATGATTGTTTAAAGAAATGGATGAAAATCATGACAGCAAAGCAAAATTATAGTAGCAAAACTCACGCTTGCTCTGTTTGCCTCTCCCAGAAGATGCTTTCTGAGGCTTGGATCTCTCTGAATTCTTTGAATGTTGGGGATTGTTTTCATCCTGCTAGCACAGAAAAATTTTTGAGCCAAGATCTCAGGAAAAAAAAAATTGTTACAGTTTTGCCTTGAAGAAAAAGATAGAAACATAAACCAAATATTTTATTAATTGAAAGTATGACACTTGGTCAATTATAGATAAAAAGGTAATTTTGAAGAATGTTGTAGGCTGAATTCAAATCTGATATATCTACTGAAGAAGAGTACCGTTTGAACTAGAGCTCATTGGAACATTTTAATTTATGTTATAGCATACACAGCGAATTCTAAACAAGTAAACACAATTCATAAAAGAAGGGAATAAATGTATCAATGCCTAAAGTTAGATCATGTTCCAAAGTACAAATCACTCAGAACAGAGGAAATGCACCATAAAAACAGACAAAAAGAGTGATGATTAAAGAAGCTAATACAAAACCATCATCGCACGTTCTCTTTCCCATTCAAGGGAGGCAACATAAGATATCTACCTGAGAATAGTGATCTGAGGCTCTCCCATTGAAGAGGAGGTTTTTGAGTGCATTTTTTGCATCAGCACGCTTGTGACGAACCGAATATCTAATATGGGTCTGTTCAAATCAGGTCTGCATCAGATTATAATTACAAAATATAGTGAAAAAAAAAAAGTGCAATGAGAACAGTGGTACAATTCACAAATGGAAGATTTGCGTAGATACCACTCAATTCCTACGCATTTACATATCTAACACCTAAACTTCAATTTTTATATACATACCACCTTACTATTTAAAAGTTAAAATAATGGTCTTTTTTTGTGAGATATGAAAGATTTGGATGTTATAAATGTAAAAGGCAAAATTTTGATGACAGATATGTAAATACATATGAAATGGGTGGTCTGCACGTAAATGCCCCTTGAAAAATTTAGACATCGACAGTGTATTAGAACTTGGCTTAATTTTAGGTTACACGGTGATGCCAAATACTAGATTTTGTGCTACTTTTCGAAGCCTGTAAAATCACATGCGTCAGTTATGAAGATATGTGTGCCTCAGATGAGAATAAGAACTTCTGCTCAAACTTTGTTGAAACGGCACATGGATGTTCAAATAGCAGTTCCAGCCACTAGGAGATGACATTGTTAAAAGGTGTAACCTAAGGTGTCCCTGTAATCCATCAAATACCAAATGTTTCTGTGGAATTGAAAGGTTCCTTTTATGTATTAGTATAATAAATATGAAAGAGGGAAATTTCAATGATGAAGTTGATAGGGCGTGAAAACAAAGGCTTGTACTCATGGATATAATTTCCATGAATCACCTGGTAGCTTGTTTCCCATAAAAGATATGCTGGAACTTCTATGCATGCTAGTAAAGGCTTAGAAGTGTTAACAATATAACTTTCGAAATGAAAAAAGCTAGCTATTTTCCACCTAGGAAGGTTAATATTAGTTATCAAATCACTGTTGAAAAATTAATTTGATAGAAGCACAGTCATATTTTTTGGAATCATGGTGGAACATAGGCACCAATCTTTTTTTTAGTAAACTTCATCTCCCATGAATAGAATTGAATGTTTCAGCACTTAATCTCAAAGTTCAGGCACCCGCCCCAATGTTCGTCTTTTTCAGTTCTAATCAAGGAAGGATGAATGTCTCACGTGTTACTCACATGCAAATACAAGGAATCAGCTTAACTGTCAACATAATTTATGAGAAACCTATGTAGGAGTTGAATCGCAAAAAGAATGTGCCTAATTCCAAGCTCAACCAAACATTATGCTAGAATTAAACAGAATTCAGAGAATAAGACATTTTTCAAATTGAATAAGTATGATTTACACATAATATTCACACATGAACCATCTCATCGTACAGAGAATGCTGTCTTCGTTTTTCTAGACATGAAAGAATTTTCTGGGAGAAAAAAGATGGTCATTCTTAATAACAAAAAAGAATAAGAAAATTTTGTGCATCACAGAAGGTACGGGAAACTAAATTCTCATTGGAAGCGCACTACGAAGGGAAAAAAAAAAAGCCAAGATTTTCAAAAACGTAGATCCTTCTCCCAACTTTCCAAATTAAAAAAAATAAACATAATTTGATTTCAATGAGAAACACCTGCAGCATATGCATGGAATTCAGAAAGGCCTCAAACTGCTTAAAATTTTTTCTCCATTTTTGTACACCTCTGCTATTCTAACCTTAACAAAGCACTTACCATGCCATACGGCTTCCACATGCATGGAAGCCATGCATTTGAACTCCAATGCTACTAAAATTATGAAATATATAAAAAAATAATTCATTCAATAAGAATAAGATTTGGTTAGCGAACACAATATCTCACAGTAGATAAGACAACTGCATTAGAGTGATAGAATAGTCAGCCTTCTGAAATGATGTACCTTAGATGGTTGTTGAGGAGCACCGTCATCCTGAATATATAAAAAAAATTGTTAATAAGTGCAAGAAGAAACTTATAAGAGGAGAAGAGAGAAAGTATAAACATTCATAAGTTTTCGGTACTACATACAAATAAGTATTTCTCGTTGTTATATTTTTCTAATAAAAATTACGACCATTTCAGGGCACCCCTTCAACAGAGCATGCATGAACTAAAAAAAGCGTAGACAACTTCTAAAATGTTATAGATCAAAACAAACTGAATTTAGATTTTCCCACCCACATCCCCTCTCTCTCTCTTTCTCTCTCACTTAAAAATATTGTAGCTATCTGTATAGCCTTAATTTTGATACTCCAATAGATCATAACTTCTAATATAGAATTTTGTATATATGCTGCTCTATGTTCGATATCGGAGTTAACCAAAATCACAACGAAAACACAAATATTATTTTTGAATTCTAAACATATTAGAAACACGATGCAAAAAAGCAGGAAATAAACGACAAACAAGCATGTCAACATAAACAATAAAAGGAGCCTAAGGGGGATGACGAGGACGGAGGCTGCTGGACGGCGGTTGGCAACTAAGAAAAGAGGGTTGCAGCTGTAAGGAGGTGGCAGGAGGGATGGGCAGCAGCTGGAACAGGAAGACAGCTTGGGCGGAAGTAGAAACAATAGCCGATTGCTGTTTGGGGCTGCTGGACAGCAGGAAAACAGCAAAGCGAAGGCGTTGCATGCTACGACAGCGAAGGTGGAAGGCTGGGACAGTGAGGGAAGCGAGAACGAGCAAGGATAAGGCAACGGAGGCGGATGGAACTGCAGAAAACAATAGATACTTGTTGTTCTGGGCGGTGGCAGCAAGGGAGGTGATGGTAACTACGTCAAACCGTAGCTGGAGAGGTGCAGAAACATCGTCAGAGTTTGGATTGGCAGCTGCGGTAAAAACCAGATAGGTGCGGCTGCTGTGGAAAAAGTAGCAGAGCAGCCCGGAGGATGGACGGAGAGATATATATCTCGGCGGAGTCAAGCTATAGCCGAAGCACCACCCGGATCCGTGGAGACGATCACCACCATGGACAAGGGACAACCAGAGCACTACCCTGACGTCGGATACAACCCTGAAGTGGAAAAATACTCGGAGAAAACTGAATTCATATATCATAAAACAACCCCTAACTCAAAGCACAACCTCACATATTTATAAAAAGATATAACCTTAGGAAACATTTAAAATAATAAGCAGAATAAAAATCAAATTTCAGATTCGATGGAAGGATTTAAATTAGGAAGAAGAATAAAAAATAAATTTCAGTTTTAGTAAAGGTTTTGAATTAGGAAAGAGAATAAAAATTAGAATTTCGTTTTAGCAACTTTTAAATTAGAAAATGCCTGAGAAGGAAAGTAAGAAAAGATGGAAAGGAAAGAAAAAAAAAGGGAAAAAACAAAGGAGGGAAGAGGAACGAGGGGGCGGTAGTCTCCCGGGATTGGGGGAGCTTCGAACTCATCTGTCGAAGCTTCTAGCCCCATCTCTTTAATCATGACAGCCCCCGTATCCCACTGTCGACTGTACCACCTCCCAAAGCACTTGCAAGTGTACCCCCATCTCGCTCCAATCTTCTGGGACGGAAATCTCTTGCATGGTAGTGGCCATGGTGGTAGAGAATCAATTGTCACTAAAACCAGTCCCGCTACTCTATTGGCAAGGGCTCTTATCTCCTCAGGTGCTACCGAAGGAAGTAGAATAAGGTGTTTGTCGTCCTTAGCGAAGGAATGTGTGTTTCTGAATCCACATTCTTACTACTACTGTTGTCGATGATAAGACTACATACATTTCCGTTCATTGTACAGTGGGTGAAGAAAATATTGTGGCGAAGCCATTGCGGATTTCTCGCGTCCTCGGCTTGCAGAATCCGTCGAATCACAAGTGCTTCTCTCTCATATGGTGGAAGATGATATTACTCACCCTGTTCTTCAACGTCCTGCTCCTCGCTAACCTCTTTCACTGCGCCCTACTTGGCAAAAGATACAACTCTGCTCGTCGAGCAGTTGGAGGCTATGTACCCAAATTCGTGGCATTTGAAGCATTTTCTGGTGGGCACTGTAGTCGGCTTCTTCTCACTAGGGGCAGCTTTCTCCGTATCCGAACCAATTTTCTCAACTTTCTCCGTCGTGCTCCTGCCGGTGTCTCCAACTGTGGGTAGCTGCCTAGCTGGTGGTGGTTGTCCGCTCTGCTTCTGCTGTCTTTCCACTTTCAATGCTAGTGTCTGAACAACCCCCAGCGTCCAATATGGTTATAGCTGCACCAAATTGCTAATACTAGGTTTTAAGCCCCCAAGATATTTGGCTATTGTAATCTCCTCTGACTCTGTCAGGTCGCACTTCAGTTGAAAATGGTCGAACTAAGTTTTGAACTCCTCCACTGAAAGGTCTCTCTGTTGCAAACTGTGGAGTTTCAAAAACATGTATTGGCGGTAATGAGAGGGAAGGTATTTCTTCTACATGATTTTCTTCATCTTCTTCCACCTAGTAATCTTTTTGTTGTTTTCTCGCCTCCTCTGTCGTTGTACGTTCTCCCACCATAGGGAGGCACTTTTCTTTAATTTAAAAACAACTAATTTGTCCATTCAAACACCTCTTTGTATTTGAAGATCCGCTCAACTATTTGTAGTCATTCGATAAATTCATCCAGATCCATACCCCCTCAAATTCAAGTAAATCTACCTTGATCCTGTAGTCTTAGTTCCCTCCAAATGACATCTCTTCTAGGAAAGTTTCCTTGTGGGAGGGGCATCGATATCCCTCTTTAGGCCTCCTCTGATATTGGATTCTGAAACGATGTGTCCTATCTTCTTTATCGTTGAAATTATCCCTGTGGAAGGGATTTAGATCCTCTTCTCTCTCCCCTTCAAATCTCTTGGTCTCGGTCGAAGGTAACTTCATCCTGTGTCATCTCTTCAATCTCTGCAATTCTTTGTTGGAGGCGGCGGAGTTGATGCGGGGCATGGAAGAGGACAGACCGGTCCTCAAAGAAGGGAGGTTGTCGCTCCCTCCTTCCTCTCCCCTCCTTCCTCTTCCCTCCTTTATTTTTTCCCTTCTTTCCTTTTTCTTTCTTTACTTTCCTTCCTAGGGATTTTCTAATTTAAAACTTTTGCTAAAATTAAAATATGATTTTTATTCTCTTTCTTAATTTAAAACCTTTATTAAAAACTAAAATCTATTTTTTTATTCTCCTAACTAATTTAAATATTTTCCTTAAATCTAAAATCTGATATTTATTCCTCTTATTTTAAATGTTTCATAAGATAAGTTATATCTCTTTATAAATAGGAGAGGTTGTGCTTTGAGCTAGGGGTTGTTTTATGAAATATAAATTCAGTTTTTTCTGAGTATTTTCCCTCTTGAGGGTTGTATCCAATGTCAAGATAGTGCTTCGGTTGTCCCTTGTCTGAGATTGTGACCGTCTCCATAGGTCTGGGTGGTGCTCTGGCTGGAGCTTGACTCCGCCGAGAAATTTATCTCTTCGTTCATCCTCCCGGTTGTTGTCCTACTTCTTCCATAGCAGCCCCACCCTCAGCCTTCACCACAACCGCCAATCCAACCTCCGACGAGGCTCCTGCACCTCTCCAGCTGCGGTTCAACGTCGTTACCGTCATCACCCTTGTCACCGCCCAAAGCAGCAAGAATCTATTATTTTCTGTAGTTCCAGCTGCCCCCATTGCCTTATCCTCTTTCTTCCTCGCTGCCCTCACTGTCCCAGCCCTCCACCTTCGCCGTCGCAGCACGCAACGCCTTCGCTTTACTATTTTCTTGTTGTCCAAAAGCCCCAAACAGCAACCAGCTGTTGTTTTGATTGTCGCCCCAAGTTGTCTTGCTATCCCAACAGCTGCCCATCCCTCCTGTCATCTCACTATTGTCGTAGCCCTCTTTCCTCAACCACCAACTGTCGTCCAAGAGCCTCCAACCTCGTCGTCCCCCACAGACACCTTTTATTGTTTATGTTGTCATGTTTGTTTGTCGTCTATTTCCTGATTTACAGTATCATGTTTGTAATATGTTTGGAATTCATAAATAATATTTGTGTCTTTGTTGTAATTTGGGTTAACTCCGTTATCATTTGGCATTGAGCTAGTCAAACTCTAATCCCATCCTAGGGTTTCTATCATCTGCCTCTACCCAGTCCACCACACCAAAATTTTTTTTTTCTTTTCTTTCTTTCATTTATTTTTTCTCTACCTTTTTTGTTCTTTCTTTTCTTCCACAAATCCCAAACCATCAAACATACCTCCATGGAGAAATATGCCCGAGCCTCGCGTCAATGTTACTCAATAAACTTGATAAAATGTTTTACGTTCATGTATTCATAGTCATGCTACATAGAACACTTTTAATCCTATATCTTGTAAGTGATATACTCCCGACGCGATATCCAATGCTAAAACATGTATTAAACTTTTGAAAATAATAAAAATTTTAGATATTTATTTGAAGTTTCTTATGATTTTTAACACTTAGTACCATGTTTAAAATGTCTTGCATCGTGTCATGCACAATAAACTATAGCTCCCTGGGGATCTTTGCATTATGATTTGATATTCGTGAATGACAAGTATGATCCTAATCTAAACTTCCACAAATTTGTCACATGTATTTAATAATTATTCATGAGCGCCTATTTTTACTTTCTCAAATTTTGATTAAAGGTGCTTTTGGGGTGGCATCCAAGCCACGGAGCGGAGGCTGGCTGCAATTTGCAGCCGTTTGGAACGGCGTTTGGGCCGCGGCGTCTTGCCGTTTGATTAAACGCGGGTCAAGGGTTCGACCCCGCGGCCCGCATTCGATGAATACCTTTTTACGCGTTTTTTAAGGGTTCGTCCTCAGCCCCAACGCTCCTCTATTTGACGTCAAATCCCTCGTCGATCCTCTGTTGTTTGACGATGCCTTCCTAGTTGATCACGTACACTCGGGAAGAAGGGAGACGAAGCCAAAGTTGTATTCTGTGCGAAGGAAAAGTGGGCCTTGTGTGCGAGTA